ACATTGGTTGGAGGCATTTTTCTGAGCTTTAGAGGATTACACAAGGGTTTAATCCATTTTTGGCAAAAAGGCAACAATGCTATTTTCATAAAGCACAACTTTATGCATATTTGTTTCTCTTGAGCATTGCACCAAGCCTGTTGCAGCAAACCAAATCCACAAACTCAGGGCAAAGTACAAAAACTTTGTGCATGCTTGAAGCTAGCCTGTACAGACCTGCCCTTGGCCACTTCACACTTTTGCTTCTAAACCAAGTCAACTTGCAAAAACCACATAACACTTCCATCTAATAAAACCAAGCCTTGTAAACATTTCAAACAAGTTTTGCATATTGCCTTAAGTCAGAAACACGAGCTAGCCAGTCCTCAAACACCCTTGAACATCAAAACACCAAAAACTTGCAAAATAGGGCAGCTTCTGCAGTTTCACCTCCATCTCACAAACCACTCGTGCGTTTTTCCCCAAACCTCTTCCAACACACTCCATACAACTAACCTAAGCTCTCCCAATCATTGGCCAGGGACTGTAACTCCATTTACACACTTCACCATTTATGAATTCTGATTGTGCAGGTTGACTTCTACAAGCTTATCCAAGCAAGTTCAAAGCAAACTAAGCATTGGGGAAGGTCAAAGGAAGTTCAAGCAAGCTCCCAAGCATCTCAGGCCTCACTAAAAACCCCTACATTGCCATACTCGAGTTCAACTGAAGCGGGTATTGTTCAAACTTCTATCTCTCTATTTAGGAAACATTAGGCTTAGGTTTGTGAATAAAAAATGTAGTACTCATTGCCCTTAAGCTGTACATATGCATATATTTCATTTAAGTTAACTGTGTTGGGAGAATTTGAATGATGAACTTTCTGAAAAATCTAGGTTAGAAATTAGAGTCAGAGAAATTCTCTCTGGTCTTTGAGAGTTAGATTAAGTTTTTCACATGGTTAGAATCGTATGATCATGCTCTACAACTTTCATGTTGCAAGTTTTTGCTTTAGAGCACGTATGCAGAATTTCCAAGTTTGAATACAAGGCGCGTGTTTTCTTGTTCAAAGGTTGAAGACGAAGGCAAATCTGGGTTGGGCCTGGTTGTTCATGCTTTTTGCACCCCTGACTTGCTTCTCACACCCCCTCAGCCCATTGTTTTATATTTTCATATTTTTTCATTTCTTTTTAGTTTCTGACTTTTATTTTATTTTTCTAAATATTAAAAATTACTAAAAATATTTTCATAAATTTTCATATTTTATTTTATTATTTTTATTATTTTTTCTAGCATAGAAATAATTACTTTTATAATATAATTTTATTTTCTTTAATAAAAACTTGTAAATAATATAAAAAAACATTATATTTTTATTTTTAGTATTTATATATACTTAAATAATATTTTCTCACATTATTTTTATTTTTTAACATTTTTGTATATTTTTATTTATTTTATTGTACAAAAATAAATAATATATATATATATATATATATATATATATATATATATATATATATATATATATATATATATATATATATATATATATATATATATATATATATATATATATATATATATATATATATATATATATATATATATATATATATAATATATATATATATATATATATATATATATATATATATATATATATATATATATATATATATAATACAAATTAGGGTTTCCACCCTTGATAAAAAATAATCTTTTATTTTCTTATTTTGATACATAAAATATTTTATTTTTTTACATACATAAAATAATACAATAACATTTTTCGCATATTTATAATATATTGCATATTTATTTAATTGTCCATTTAAATATTTGCTTATTTATTATTTGAACGAAGAATTCAATTTGGTTGTAATAATCTTAGGGTTTTAATTTCTTGCAAATAATCCCCTATTCAAAATTGTATCCCCCTCCCCATATCAATATTGTAATAATTGTAGATTTATTTTTACGCATTTATAGCTTTCAAATATGCATGATAGAGATTAGGGTTTGTATGCAAAAATCCAAAATCAGCAAATAGCTTGACTAATACAAGACAAAATGCATGAAAATGACAACACAATGCACACAAGCACCCCTAGGGTTTCATCCACTTGTTGCCTTTAAAGTGTCCATGGTATGCATGCTAGGTGTCTTGGCAAAACAAAAACAAAAACAAAAGATCATAGTCCCTCGATGACGCTATCTTGGTTGCCTATACAAAAATGATCTAGTCCCTCAAATAAAAACTTGCTAAAGATACTCGGCACAATTGTTATCATGGTCAATATGATGACTCGCGCCTGTCCCGTTTAACATCCAAACACAAGGTTGTTTACCAAATGCAATGGTAAAACAACACTGTCAAAGGTTTAAAAATGTGTAGGAAAGATCTTTGAGTAGATAGGGTAGACAACTCTTAGTTACTTGATCAAAACATGCAAACATCCTTGCTATTTTCAAAAACACATCACAACACAATTTCAAAACATTTCCCAAAATAAACTTTCAAACATTGAAACATTTTTCAAAAGACAAACACCTTTGTATACATTCTTACAAGAATTATTACAAAGGTTGCCTAGACAAAGGCCTCTTTTCAAAATATTTTCAAAACCACACACACAAAAGCACCATTTCAAACAATTGAAAAGTAAAAGCAAGTGATCTAAAACAAGTAACTAAGAGCCCATGGAAAACCATGGATGAAAAGGGTGCTAGCACATTCCCTTTTCATAATCTACCCCCCGAACCCAAGAAAACATCTCAAAGGTCTTTCATGTGCTTTTTGACCTTTCCTTTGGATAAATAAAAAGTCGATGGCGACTCTTGCTAAACCGAAACATTTGCGAACACAAACGCAAAACTTCAAGTCAGTTCTTCCACCGCATCACACACATCAAGTAAGATGATTGATGATGAAAATTGATGTATTTGGCTTTGATCTAAGCTTATCTCCCCTTTCCTAAGTTTCTTATCCAAAGCTTTCTCTCTTCCTTCTCCTCTTTCCTCTTTTTTATCTTCTCTTTCTATTATCTTACTAACCAAATGAAAAGGAGTGGTTGGTAAGAATAGAACAGAGGAAAATATATAAAAGGGATATTTTTATCTTTTAGAGAGAAATTTACCAATTATTAATGTCACCAAATTCCTTCTTTAACAAATTAATAAAGGTCAACTTTACTGAGTAAGAATTAAGCTCATCTAAGTTCACAAATTACTCTATTTGTCCCAAATGACATGAAATAGATCATATTGAAACTCAGTTGATCTCAACTAAAAAGGTTCAGGGTCTAAAAGGACACAGAGTATTACACTTATACCTGTAAATGAAGGAATGAGAGTTAAACTTCCTGAAGTTTGGAAGCAAGTTCACTTTGAGCTTGATGAAGGTACAAATGATTATTTTGATGAGAAAGTATCTAAAAAGCGAAAGAGTGGAGGCTTAACCCTTCTTTATAAGGATTTGAAGGCTAATTCTATTAGGTATTGAGTAACCTATCACTAGGTACACACACGATTGCTAAAAGATTCTCCACGTCTTTGACACGTAAGAGCAACCCGGGTCAACTTAGCTTCCCGAAACAAGCCAATCATTATATGTATTTAATATTACAAGTGTGTTTATCTATGACGCTTGAGGGACACGCCCCAAGCTCTGCTTAAGGTACTCTCCCTCGGAGATGATTTGAAAAGCTCTTTGGGGTTTTCCCACATGTAAAGATTGGAAACGATTAAATTAAATCACTTTGTACTTTACAATCCCTTGAGCTTGAGGACTCTGTATCGTTATAGTTGTAGTGAGCCCTAGAAGGAACGACTCACGTAAGGAAAACAAAACACACTAGCAAGGGGCGTGTCCCCCCATAAAATTATAGGCCATATAAAATGGGCCATGAGATCACCTAAACCTTAGTAATTTCCTGCAAGTTGGTTTTAGTCAACCTGAACTCACTCCCATTACCCACTTGTCCAGTGAACTTGGTTGATGACGTGTCCTATCATAACAGACTAGATAAAAGGGTCAAAAAGGATAATTGTCATCTTCATAATCTAAGAAGTAATAACTCTCTTCTCTCCATGTTTCTTAGGGAGGGGAGAGAATAATTTCCCCTCAGTCTAAAGACTAAATCCCAATAGCTTTCTATAAATATTTCAGCCTAAGGTTAGAGGGACATAATCATTTTTCACCCACAAATCATATATATATTTATATATATATATATATATATATATATATATATATATATATATATATATATATATATATATATATATATATATATATATATATATATATATATATATATATATATATATATATATATATATATATATATATATATATATATATATATATATATATATATATATATATATATATTTCTAAACATCATCAATAAAGTACAAATCCATATACCTTTTAGAGTATATTTTAATGTGACAAACATTAAAAAAAAAAATCAAAACAACTTACAAAAACTTGTATATACATTTATAGCATAAATATAAAGCACAAAATACATAAAATATATAAAGATAACATTCTTACACAAAATAAATTTGTTTTATTCATAAATATAATATCATTGACTTAAATTCAATATATTATAAAGAACGTTTTTTTACGATAAAATTTTCAAAAAATTTCTTTAAATACAAAAATAATAATATATTAAATACATTTTTAAAAAATTATCATATTATAAAAAATTAAATCAACAATTACTAGGTAATCATTAAGGTATGTTTTCATTAGACACAATTACTAAAATTTGATAAAACATTTTATCCTTTTTCATGAACCTGCCACTTGGCTTCCTCACAACACACTTCTCTTTTTTCCCAATTTTTCCTCATTTATGTTTTCCACTTTCTTCCAATTCCTTTCTTCCGCGGCAGTTACCCAATGCAATTGAATGGTTTTAGAAACGTTTTACTCTCCTTATTCCGTATTATGAAACTGTTTCATCACACCCATTAATCTTGCAACCGCCCTTCCAGTAATCATGTGTATGATTTATTATACACCTACATCCTTTCAACTTCCATCTCATATTCCTCACACACAATCATCGATCGACTTTTTTCTTATAACCATTCCCACGACAATTACAGGGCGAGACCTATGGAAGAAACTATGCGACGTTACCGGCGGATCTGATGTTTTCATCAGTTCATTATCAACATCAAGATGCTAAAAAAACATAGAAAATCCATAACCCCGACTGCGGATTTCTGCAGGTTCGGACTATTGAATTGTTGTGAGTTAATGTTGTGATTTGATTTTCACTTTGATGTTTTGATTGTTGAAAATGGTTGGAATGATGTTGCAGGTTCTGATGAATGATGTTAAGGATCAATTGAAGATATTTTTTTATGAATAATGCTATTGTTTTCACATTATTTTGGAGGAAGAATTTCAACACTAATTTTAGCAGCCTAACACATCTTCCTCCCCTTTTCTTTGTGATCTCCACCTCTACATATGTTTTTCTTTGTATCAATTACATTTTTTAAATTTTGCAGACAAATTTTATCTACTATACAGGTATGGGCATGCTTTACAAAAAATTATTAAGGAAGAGGGGTTACTTGGGATTTATAAGGGACTAGGAACTACACTTTTAGTATGTTGTTATTATCAATTTGCCAATACTCAAAGTATATATTCATTTCTTGTGTATTTAACTGCTTGTATATATTAATGATGGCAGGTGAAAAAACCAATAGAAATTTTAGTTATAGGTTATACTTTGAAAACCTATTTTAATAGTTTGATATTTTTTGCAGGGAGAATTTATCTTGGTTTGCACAATTTGATTGATGTTGTTGCTAGCCTTTTTATTTGACTTGGAATCCTCGGACTTTGGCTTAAAGTTGATGAGTACATAGACAGTTTTATTGTCTTAGGACAAACTGGTATTCTTCTAATTGATTAATTTAGTATGTTTTATATTGTGTTTCCTTCGTGAAATTTTAGATTTATACTAGTAAGTCGACAATCGAAGTTATGAATCACTACGAAGCTTTGGTTCATGATGGGTTTCAATCTTTTGTTGAATGTATAACAATAGGTTCAAGAACGGGAAAGTTAGAGTTTTAATTTTGTGGTTATGGTTTTTATGTTAGTTTGATGATTTAGAGTGATGATATATGATTTTCTATTGCAATTGTTTCAAGTCCTCCGTACTCACGGCTTCAAGACAATTCACCATGATCAAAAGGTATCAATTATCTTCGTGTAACTAATTTCAAAAGATATAATACTTGTCTCATCACCGAACTGTATAATATTTGTTGCCGCTATGTGAATATTCTATGAATAGTTTTGTTTTACAAAAATTTGTTTTGTATTTAATCGGCAGGGAGTGTTGATTGATGATGTGGAAATGCGAGATGTGTTGGATCTACCGTAATATTCCTCTTTGAGAGCATTATGGGTTTGTAGAGGATACAGTTAAATGAACCTAAATTTACTTGGTGTTATATAAATGTAAAAGGTTACTTCTTGATAGAAATTTCCTGAGTTATGCCCTTTGGTAATTTAATTATTACCTTAGTTCATGTGGCCATTAATTTTTGCAAGGGACACCAATGGAGACTTCCACCAACAGTTTATCAGCCAAACGAAAAAAGGGTAAAAAGAACGAAAGAAGCAATCATCGCCATTCTATGGGGGAGTTATTGGTGCTTCCATTTTTGTCCAAGTTTCCCATTTCTTCTAATTACAACGTGTCTCATAAAAAAGTCCTAAATGAGTAAGTTTTTAGGATATGCTTCACATGTGTATGCATGCCTGATCATTTATTCATAAACTTTATTATAAATATTTTCTACCAACTTATTTTTTAAGATCTATTGCATATCTTACTGCCAATAGCAATAATTACTTTGTTCATTTGGTTGATGTGTTCCTTGCAGCCTATTTGCTAAGTAGCAATGTAAATGTGACAATTCTCAGCCAGAAACGAATCTTGCCACTGTATACCATAACTGTTTTTGTACCACACCTCATTGCAAGTGAAAATTGGGTACTTGGAGAACTTGGCTCCTATCTATCAGAGGTAAACCATGCTCAATCTAGCTATCATAGCTCAAGTAAGTTCTGTTTCATATGGATTTTCAATTTGGTTTCATGAATTTGTTGTGATATAGTCAGGGAAACATTATGAGGTGATTCAATCTTGGTTTCAAACCTTGTGTATCTTTTTTGGAGATGAGTGCTGATGTATATTCTCAATTTCTTATGGGATTGGTTATGCCGGATACACAAAAGAATTAATATGCAAGGTAATAATATTAACAATATAAATTGTATATTCTTGTATGGTTTGTTGGAACTTTAGTATTGTTTTCCTTTAGTTTTTTTTGTCCGAGAAATAAATTCTCCATTATTAATGGATTTCGTATCGAGTAATTTTCTTTTAGGTGTGTTTTTTGTTTTATTGTACATATTATAACGAAGGTAATGAAAATGGATGCTGCCGAACCATTTAATGTTCCTGCCAATCTGGAAGCTCTGGGAATTCTTGTAAGTATAAATATTTTCAAGTAACTTTTTTGAGACAGATGATTTTACAAAACTCGTGATATTTGTTCATTCATTGAGAGTAATATGATTCTCTGTCAAACTTGGAACAAAAATGAAGAGAGATTTTTTGAAAACAATATTGTGTTTACTTGTATCTAATATCATAATTCATACACTGTCTGGAACCAAGACTATTTTGATATCATTGATACACCAATGGATTTTAGAACTATATGCAGCAACCTTGAAAAGAATGGAAAGTATATGATGTCGGAGGATGTCTATAATGATGTAAAATACATTTGGGAGAACTGCTATAAGTATAACAATGAGGCAAGTAAAAATGAACTTTATGAAGTACTGGACTACCGGTTCTTGGGATTGCTCAATATGTTCCAAATGAGAACCTTTTGATGACAAAGGAACAACTTTTTGATAGGACTTGTGTGATACGGTGGCAGAGCCGACTGTTATACTGATTTGTGTTTTTTGTTCACAAATGTCGCAGTAAGCAAGAGTCTCCACCAACTTTTATTTCATCCAACAAAGAAAAAGGAAAAGAACAGAAAAAAAAACCTTTTTCGAGAATCTTTTTGAGTACGGGGGGTAGATTATAGAAAGGGAAGGTGTTAGCACCCTTTCTATCCGTGGTTTTCCACGGGCTCTTAGGTACTTACTACTCATTTTTAAATTGCTTGTGTGTGCTTGTTTTGAAAAGTTTTGTTTACTTCGTGATAACCCTTTGTATCGGTCTTCAAGAGTGTGACGAAGTTGTTTTGAAAACTATTTTTTTTTTAAATTGTTTGTTTGAAAAGTTTTTGTTTTGAGCAAGTACTTAAGAGTTTTCTACCTACTCGAAAAAGGTCTGTTCATTTTTGTTTTCTTTAGACAGCGCTATCCTACTATGAAGGAGTAGGTAGCTCCGTCGTTGGATTTAAAAGGGACGAAATGGTCTCTGAAGGCAACAAGTAAAGATACCTTAGCGTTTCGAAGGGACTATCGTCGTAAGATCAATTCGTAGGCAACTCGAGGGACAAGTAGGGACTGTAATCTTTATGAAGATTTTAAATCGCAGGCCATTGCTAAGGTATCCATACATTTAAGGGACACAATCATTATTTATGAGGCAACCAAGTGGGGCAAACCCTAGGAGTGAGCATGTGCAGTGTATTTTTTCAATTAATTATCTTTGCATATTTAGGGTTTTCTACTGTATTAATCGTTTATCTTTCACATGCAAACCTGTTGTCCATACATCTAAACAGTTCATAGTTGCAGAAATTTAAAAGCGAGAAATTAGAGTCCTAGCTATTACATGGCTTTGGGCAGATATATAATTATTTTGACTGAAAATAAAATGCGGAATTAAAATCCTATTTAAATTTATTACAAACTCGGAGTATTTACAAATAAATAAAAAAAGAAAATCCAAAGCACGCGGCCAATTAAACGCGAGAAATAATTCAAATCTAATTTAAGAAAATATTTATGTTGTTTTTTTGAAGAAAAATTAGGTTAAGTATAAAATTAAATCCTAATTCTAATTATTTTTGAATTATAATCAAAAAGTCATTAAGTTGCCCTAATTTAATCTAACTAATTAATTAATAAAATATTTATGAAAAAAAGATTTTGGTGTTTTTATGATTTTTTTGATTAAATAAAAAAATGATTTAATTTCGGTGTTATTAAAAAAACATAATTAATAAATAATAAGAAAAAAAGAATTAAAAAAAAGTGAGAAATTGGGCCTGTATAAGCACCCATGGGGGTGTGTTTCTGAATTTCCAAGGCCCAATATGGTTGAGCCCAGTTTCTGCGCCAGATCCTATATTGGCATGCTTGAAAGGTGCACCATGGTCTCTCTTTGAATTGAATGTTGGATTGTGAGATTTGACCTGATGATGGATCTCAGGGTTGAGATCAAGGTGTTCACGGTAGGAACTAAATCATGAGGCACGCTGGATCTGCACTTAAATGGTCAGAAAATAGGAAAACATTTGGATTTGGGAACGAACCCAGGTCCTTGGCTTTACATGCTACTACCCCTGCCATCTGCGTTGCGTTGGTTATTTGATATAATAATAAAACATAATCATAATATATCAAACAAATGACTAGGCTGAAGAAAACAAAAAAATGCGCGAACGTTCAAACGGACCAATAGAATGATGATGAGTCATCATCTTCTTCCCTGTCCGTCGTCTTAGGTATCAGGTTTATACCTACGGACAGAACTCCATAGCTATACACCTGCAAACTTCAAAAATCCATACCACGCATGATAAATTAATTCTAAATACACCAATCCAGTCGTCTTGATCTCAGGAGCATCATGGCATCAATTTCTTGGCCTAATTTTACTTGTACAGAGAAGCCCCAAAATGGCTTCTCAAACCCTAACAATGGCAAGTGGTCAAACACGCATCAAAACAAGCAATTAATCATTCAAACATGCTCTAAATGATCATATAAACATGAATGCATACTCAAAATTCATTTATAATGCATATATTGGCAAAATCGAATTCAAGAACAAGAAGCAAACAATGATGTTGTAGATGCTTGTTCTGGACGTCTTGATGTGTGCAAATGATCCAGTTAGCTTCTAAATGTGCCCGGGAATTGATTGCAAGTGTCAAAACTTCTTGAATCCCTCTGCAAAGGTCAAACCGATTACCACTTTTTGTGAAAAAATTTGAAGTTCTTGTGTCAATTTCGTGCGGCCAAACCTTGTTCTCTTGCCTTGTTTTTGTTCATTATATGTAGTATGAAGAATTGGGGTAACAATTTTGGATCCAATCTTGAGAATTGATGGATAAAATATTTGATCTTTAAGCCATATTCTTTCATTCCAAACTTGACCAAATCATGCCTTTTTTGCCTTGATCCGATTTGGCTTGATTAGGCCATCATAATTAGATTTGACTTCCATCAAAATCATATCATCAAAATAATCTTTGGCATTTTTTGTTATTTATTTGATTTAATGTGATTTTTAATAAAATAAAAATCAAAATAAAATAAATAAATAGAGAAAATAAGATATGGATGCTGATTTGGGTCATGGACCATATCCTTAACAATATACAAACCTAAAATGCTAGGCCCTTTTGGCAAAAATACATTTTTGAGCATATTTGACTTTTGGCAATTTTCCAAAAATGGTCAACTTTGACAATGCATAAATCTTCCAATTTTAACCCTAGAGAGGTTTTCTTGGACCTTTTGGAAAGCTTAGGATGTCCCCTAAACAACTATTTTAGTCTCATTTCAATTGAGTCTTCCATGTTCATGTAAGAAGCTTTGACCCAAAAGGTGTTTTTGTTGACTTTTCAAAAGGACCTATAATGTAGAAATTCATATCTTTTTATGAGTGCATTTTTTGAAATTGAGGTTTGAAGATGAGTTGTAGGAAATTGGATTCCCTTCAAAGTGAGCCTTGGATGAGAAATTTCTGATAAAGTATGAGAAAGTTATGCTTGGTCAAAGTTTGGTTGACTTTTCCTAAGAAACCCTAATTTAGCAACTTTTTGAATTTTGATGAATTAGGAGCATTCCTTGAGGAATCATGATAAACCCTTGATAAAATGATGAATATCACTTCAAAATGTTGATATTGACCAAAAACCTTGAAGTTTGACTGTATGTGGGTCACAATTGACTTTTGACCTAGTACAGTTGATTTTCAGGCATTTGAGCAGTCGACTGAGCAAAATTCTTGTGCAAAGCTTGAAATTTGACATGGAGGCTCTTAAGGACATATTAGGCCTTTGGAGCTCACCCTTCTTGATGAAAATGGAAACCCTAATTGGAGGTTTATTTCTTTAGGAGAGAGTTTTCCTGGTCAACTCTTGAGCATCCTTGAGCAAGTTAAGAGTCTTAATGAGCATATATTGAGTAAAATGGGAGGGAAAATTTTTGGGTACAACAGTTGCCCCTGTTCAATCTTCTTAAACTTGAGGATGTAGACTGGCTTGGTCTGACTTTCGTGACCTGAAGGTGTAATATGATTGAACACTAAAGTGCCCAGAAATTTGCACTCGCATGCCGTGCCTAGTGATTGGTGATATCGGGAATGGGCTTACAGATGCCATTTGGAAGGTGACGGAGAATCGTTGGAGATGGGCTTAAAGATGTCATCTGGAGAAGATATCGGTTGCATAAGAGATTCCTTTGCGATAATTCTTGTACCTGTCGCTTAGGAGGACTTCACCGAAGAAAGTTGATTTATGTCTTGGGAAATAGAGTCTAGGAGTTTCGATTGTCCATTAATCTACTAGGGAATTATTTCTTGATTGAGGAGGTGGAAGTGAACTGCATATCTGGTCAGGGTCCAGGCTGTAAAGCGACTTACTAGGGAATTGTGAAGTTGATCGTATCTGGTCGGGTCCAGGTCTTACAGTGTTTTAAACTGTTGTCTGGAGATAAATGAGAAGGAACCTGAATAGTAGGGTTACTTTGAAATGAAAGCCTGGATAGTAGGGCTACGGGAAGGAACCTGGATAGTAGGGTTACCTCGAGATGAAAGCTTGGATAGTAGGGCTATGAGAAGGAACCTGGATAGTAGGGTTTCTTCGAGATGAAAGCCTGGATAGTAGGGCATATGAGAAGGAACCTAGGTCGTAGGGTTATTTCGAGATGAAAGCCTGGATGGTAGGGCTTATAGGAAGAAACCTGGATAATAGGGTTACTTCAGGCTGAAAGCCTGGATGGTAGAGCTTATGGGAAGAAACCTGGATAGTAGGGTTACTTCAAGGTGAAAGCCTGGATGGCAGAGCTATGAGAAGGAACCTGGATATTAGGGTTACTTCAGGATGAAAACCTGGATTGTAGGGATATGAGAAGGAACCTGGATAGTAGGGCTTATGAGAAGGAACCTGGGTCGTAGGGTTACTTCAAGATGAAAGCCTGGATAGTAGGGCTATGAGAAGGAACCTGGATAGTATGGTTACCTCGAAATGAAAGGCTGTATAGTAGGGTTGTGAGAAGGAACCTAGATAGTAGGGTTACTTCGAAATGAAAGCCTGGATAGTAGGGTTGTGAAAAGGAACCTGGATAGTAGGGTTTCTTCGAGATGAAATCCTGGATGGTAGGGCTTATGGGAAGAAATCTGGATAGTAGCATTACTTCGGGATGAAAGCCTGGGTAGTAGGGATGTGAGAAGGAACATGGATAGTAGGGTTACTTCGAAATGAAAGCCTGGATAGTAGGGCTGGGAGAAGGAACCTGGATAGTAGGGTTACTTCGAAATGAAAGCCTGGATAGTAGAACTGGGAGAAGGAACCTGGATAGTAGGGTTACTTCGAAGCGATAGTGTAGATTAGTTATCCTGTTTGGTTTCGGGAACTGAGTTTCCATTAGTCGTCTGCAGACGTGACCTGTATAACTGCTGGATTTGTTGAAGCTAATCA